GCAAGCCGCTCGCTTCGCTTATTCTTCAACCTTGATGTGGACGATATTATTACTTACTTACCTACTCACTCACTTATGGAGCTGAGCCCTTCTGAGGAGAAACCAAGTCTGCAGCTACTCAAGAATTCCCCTGCATTTTATGGAAGGCGAAGGTTCATTACTGTGTTCACAAGAGCCCTCCACTGGTCCTTATCCTGAGCCAGATAAATCTAATCCATGCCATCATCTCTCTAAGGTCCATTTTAATATTGTCCAGCCACCTACATCTTGGGCTTCCCAGTGGTCTTCTTCCTTCCAACTTTCCCACCGATATTCTATATGCATTCCTCTTCTCACCCATTCGTGCTACATGCCCTGCCCACCTCATCCTCCTTGACTTGTTCATTCTAATTATTCTTGGAGAAGAGTAGAAGTTACGAAGCTCCTCATTATGCAGTTTTCTCCAACCTCCTGCCACTTCATCTCTCTTCGGTCCAAATATTCTCCTCAACGCCCTGTTCTCAAACACCCTCAGTCTATGTTCCTCCCTTAATGTCAGAGATGAAGTTTCACACCCATACAGAACTACAGGCAAAATTATAGTTTTGTATATTCTAATTTTTATGTTTTTAGACAGCAGACGAGAAGACAAAAGCTTCTGGACCGAATGGTAGCAAGCATTACCCGAGTTCAATCTCCTCTTAATTTCCTCCTCAATCAAGTTTCGATTTGTTAGCATGGTGGAGACGATATTTTCCTCCGAAACGTCGCTTCATGTTCACCGGACCATACGGCGTTATATCAAAGACGAAAGAACTTCATAACCATCGCTCTGAGAACCTCAAATCTTATACGAGAATTTCAGGTTCCACTGTCATGGCCACAGAATTCTGCACTGGGTCGTCCAACCCCAAAGTGCAACAGCAGTGCCCGTAATCTTGTGGGTTACTTTTACGAATCTGCTCTCTACCGAGACTATACAGCGACGTACGGTGGAATAAATTAACTGAGAAAATTGAAAAGGATTTGGAAGGAAGAGGTCTTAGCAAAGTCGAGGGACTAACGTCATTCACCTGGGGGGGGCCCTCCAAAGAAGCACAAGAAAGCCTCAGTCGTGATAGCTGATACCTGGCCGAGCAACAAACGTAGAGCGTTACCATTAGACAAACCTGTTTGTTTTTTAGATGGTTATTTAATGACGACGCCAGTATCGAAACTAACTAATATATATATATATATATATACACACACACACACACACACACTTTCTGGACCTTCGCCGTTTTTTTGAGTTTCTTAATCCTATACACAGTCGGTACGACTCCTTGGGCGGGGGATGAGCCCGTCGCAAGGCCCCTGCCTACACACTCGACAACGGACACACAGAACAAACGCACAAAGACGTCCATGCCTCGAGTGAAATTCGAACCCACGACCACAGTGTTTGAGCTGGCGAAGACGGTTCTTGCTTTAAGACCGCTAGGCAGCTGTGATCAGCATTGAGATGATCAATGGG